GCTTAGGACGCCAGCGCTCTTGCTTTACTGTCACTTAATACTTGGCTTAGGACCCAGAGGTCACAACGACATGTTTTATGTTTTTGAAAATCTCCTGTGTCGTGAATTCAGAGAGATTGGTTTGGGAGCATTGAAAAAAATGTATTCCTTTCCATGTTTCAATGTGTTTTTGGTCATCACAGTCTGCTGTAGGCTTTGAATACCAGGGGAAGACTGAGAAGCACGCCTCCCAGAAAGGTAAGATGTGAAAAGCACAGAAAGAGGCTGGTGTTGCAGGGGCCCTGATGGGAGGAGGCCACAAAAGAGGAAGAATGGAATAAGGAGTGGTGATGTTTCCCAGGAATGGTGATGTTTCTCCAGCCTTGCATCATCCCCTGGAGCTGTTTCCCGGGCGGTGGCTGTTGCATAAGGAGGATCCTGCTCTTCTCTTCATGTTTCGGGATCATCCGGATGCCATGTGATGGATGCATCCCGCATTCCACAGCCCCCTCAGAGCAGCCCCCTCGGAGCCCTGGCATCTGGTGTCATCGTGGGGCCTCCCCCTTGTAGCGGAAGCCACCTTCCCTTCATCTGGGCGGTGCTGCTCCTGGAAAAGAGATTTCTCAGATTTATTGGCAAAAAGCTAACTCCCTGCCCCCCACCCCCCAGGATAGAAACCAGAGTTGTTAAATTCTTGTTTTCATTATGCACATACAGTTTTACTGTGCTGGGGATTAATCTTCATTACATCATACTAGTCTCATTTTTGAAAGACCAAGGCATATTGCTACCTTAAATTTCTCAGCTTATTTTTTGCAAGCTTATTTCATTCTTCCTCTTTTGTGGCCTTGCGTCATCCGGGAAAAGCTCTCAGTCCTGAAACAGCCTAGGTGCAGTCTAGGTGTAGGTAGCTGTGGGGTGGGCAGGCGGAGGATCAGTGTCTTATCTGCAGTGTTCAGCTGCGTGGCTTCAGATGAGGCTTTCTCTTTCCTTTTTTTTTTTTTGGTTTTTGGTTTTTTTTGAGACACAGTCTTGCTCTGTTGCCCAGGTTGGAGTGCAGTGGTGTAATCTCAGCTCACTGCAGCCTCTGCCTCGTGGGTTCAAACAATTCTCTTGCCTCAGCCTCCCAAGTAGTTGGGATTACAGGTGTGCGCCACCATCCCTGGCTAATTTTTCTATTTTTCAGTAAAGATGGGGTTTCACCATTTTGGGCAGGCTCCTGGCCCCAGGTGATCTGCCCACTTCCGCTTCCTAAAGTGCTGGTTCTTCGTATGAGGCTTTCTAACTGTTACCCAAGCAGCTGATTTTCAAAGTGGGCACGTGGCTTCATTTCAGACAACACAGAGAAGCTGCCCTGTGACAGCTGACAGGGCCCAGAACCCCACCACGCCCCTGTTGTGAAATGTGTCCAGTGCCACCCGTATGGAGCAGCGGGTGGCTCACTGTATGTTTTAAAATGTGTGCTTGATCCGTTTGTGAGTTGTAATCCCTACACGCTTTTGCTTAGTTTGTCACCCGGCCCATGTGCTGACCGCTGCCCTGTCTCTTCAGACTACTCCAGTGGTTTTGGCGGGAAGTATGGCGTGCAGGCCGACCGCGTAGACAAGAGCGCTGTGGGCTTCGACTACCAGGGCAAGACGGAGAAGCACGAGTCACAGAGAGGTGGGCGGCCTCCCAGTGCTTGTAATCATGTGTGCACCCCCAGAAACACTCACGGGGCATTTTCTCTCCGCACCCATGGATTGCTGTATTTTTTTAACTTAAAACATTTGGTGTTCTTTTTCTACCAGTGGATTTGGGCTTTTCCTCGTTCGAATGGCTGCACCGTCCCCCGCCGTACGAGGATTCCATAGTCCACATAACCATTCCTCATTTGAATGTGGAATTTAGGTTCTTTCTTTTTCTGTCTCTCTTTTTCTGTAGAGATGTGCTCTTGCCGTGTCACCCAGACTGGTCGTGACCTCCTGGTCTCAAGCAGTTCTCCCACCTTGGTCTTTTAAGTGCTGGGATTACAGGCGTGACCTGTAAAATATTTCCTCTTTTTTCTTCTTTTAGATGGAGTCTCTCTCTGTCACCCAGGCTGGAGGGTAGTGGCATGATCTCGGCTCACTGCAGCCTTACCTCCCTGGTTCCAGTGATTTTTGTGCCTCAGCCTCCTGAGTAGCTGGGATTACAGGTGCACGTCACGTCGCCTGGCTGATTTTTATGTTTTTAGTAGAGACGGGGTTTTGCCATGTTGCCCAGGCTGGTCTCGACTTCTGACCTTAGGTGATCCATCTGCCTCAGCCTCCCAAAGTGCTGAGATGACAGGCGTGAGCCACCGCACCTGGCCAGAAAGTGGATGCAGGGAACATCTTGTACGAGCGATTGTTCAGAAGAATCAGCTCCTAGACGTGGAAGTGCTGGGTCGAAGGCTCTCGAACGTAAAGTTTCCCTGGTTGCTGCCACGTTGTCTGTGGAGGCTGTGCTGACTTTGGCCACCGACTGCCTGCCCCGTAAACCGCTCACCCAGCGCTGCGGAGGGTGCGGCCTGTTGGCCTGCCTGCCCCTCTCTTGTTTGGCCTGCACATTTACATTTTTTAAAAATATTTGCCCGCATTTGAAAACTGAGAGCTTGACTATTTAAAAACTCAGATTTCTTTGAAAAATAAATACCCAAACCAAGAAACACCACTGGAAGATCCAGCGCGCTGGCTTGGCGTTTCCCTGAGGAAAGTGCCGGCGGCCTGAAGGGCAGCTTGGCTTCAGCAGTTTGTCGCAGCCCGGCCCGGTCTCACAGCGGCGTCCCTGGGCTCCCTTTACGGCTGCGGCGTTTGCAGGCCCTGCCAGTTGCGCAAGGCTGCTTTCCTCTCTCTCTCGCTCTCTTTCCCGGGAACAATCCGTTCCTCGTCTTCCTGATGCCGCACAGTCCTGAGCGGCACGTGCTCCAGGAAGCCACATGAATGTGCGACTCCAGGGAGCCTGGGAGCACGGGCCGAGTGCCTGGGCAGACGGGGCTCCTGGGATGCCTCAGGCCTCGAGCCTCTGCATTTGTGCTTTTAATGGATCCACGAGAGAGGCATGTTTTGGTATCGAAGTGACATGCTCAGCGGCCTCATTTTGAGTAGAACTGATGTTTCTGGAAGCTGCTCTGTGTTGTGTCCTGTTTCCTGGCATCCCTCTGCTTGCTTCAGTTGGTGAAACAGAGTGGCCTTTGAAAGCCTTGCCCCTGGGCCGCCTCCTCTGCTTAGAGTGGTCTCAAACTCCTGACCTGAGGTGATCCACCCACCTCGGCCTCCCAGAGTGCTGTGATTACAGGCGTGAGTCACCATGCCTGGCCTGTTTTTTAAACTTAACAGTTAATGATTTAACTTGGAGATGGAGTCTTGCCATGTTGCTTAGGACGGACAGCCTCCTGGGCTCAAGCGATCCTCCCTTCTCAGCCTCCTGAGTAGCTGGGCTATAGGCACACGCCCCCATGTCTGCTTACCAGTCACATAAGTAGCACGTTCAGATATTGTCTGTAGTATTCAGTGGTGCTACAGGGGACCTGAGGGATTTTTGTGTTTTTTTTAATTGAATGATAAAATCCTTTGTTAAGGACTACTAAGACCCTTGCATGTCCACTGATTTCACTGCTCCTTTTTCAGTCATTCTTTTTGTTTGTTTGTTTTCAGATTACTCCAAAGGTTTCGGTGGCAAATATGGTATTGACAAGGACAAAGTGGATAAGAGCGCCGTCGGCTTTGAGTATCAAGGCAAAACGGAGAAGCACGAGTCCCAGAAAGGTGTCTCCAGCTTTATCTTACTCTCTAGGCAGCAGCTGTTAATGTGACAGGAAAAAAAAACACTGTTGACAGCCCCGCACATAGATGGCAAATCCAGAAACGCAGCTGCTGAATCAGAACTCGAGCCTTAGCGTGTTTGATGCTCCAGCCCAGCAGCGTTGCTTATCATGGCGGCCGTGCCCCGCACGTCTGTGTTGTGCGTGTGAGCCTGTGCTGCCTCATGGTGCGGGCAGGAGCTGCATGCGTGGGAGCTTCCGTGGGGGCCTGTCTGGCTCAGTCGCAATGCCTGGGTCATAGACCCGGTTATTTTCTGCCACTCTCCAAGGAGGGCCTCTTCATGGATGTTATCTAAAGTATTACCAGGGATCCAGAAGGCAAGGGTCCATCAAGTGAATCATGTGTATTTAACTATTGAAAACATACTTTTACCTGTGACCCACGTTACCTGTTAATGATGGGTTCTGGCCTTTTGTTGTGCATGTAGACTATGTGAAAGGGTTTGGAGGAAAATTTGGTGTGCAGACAGACAGACAAGACAAATGTGCCCTTGGCTGGGATCACCAGGAGAAATTGCAGCTGCATGAATCCCAAAAAGGTACATTGACTCTGCCCGTCCTGGGGATGGTTTTGGAAGCCTGTTTTTGTTCCTGCTGGGTCAGTTGGTGTGTGTTGTGTCTGCGTGTGCCTGCTGCACGTTGTTTTGTCTTCGCTGTTTGAAGTTGTCCTGTGTGCACCCCCAGCCCCCCAGTTCCAAAAACCCTCGAGCTAGGGTAGTCATAACCCCTCCCCACTAACATGGGGGTGGTACCCAGGGAGCTGGATTTACCTGGGGGTGGGGGCACGGGTCACACCTGCAGCAGGGGGCTGGGTTTACCTGGGGGTGGGGGCACGGGTCACGCCTGCAGCAGGGAGCTGGGTTTACCTGCGGGTGGGGGCACGGGTCACGCCTGCAGCAGGGGGCTGGGTTTCCCCGGGAGTGGGGACATGGGTCAAGCCTGCAGCAGGGGGCTGGGTTTCCCCGGGAGTGGGGACATGGGTCAAGCCTGCAGCAGGG